TATTTTTTTATAGTGAGTGAAAAGTCAAATTTCAAAGTCAAACTCACGAATTAAAATGTTTAATAAAGAGTAAAATAAAACCCGTTTCGTTTTTTTATATACAACAATAATTTAAAAATAAAAACTACAAAAATAGTTTTTTTTCAAAATTTTTATAAAATTGAGGAAACAGTCAGCGCCATAGAAGCACTGAAGATTTTAGGGTTGTATTTCTAGGAAAAAAAAAATATCCGTAAATAATAATCTACTCAAGTGTTTTTTGTTCTCATTATAAAAAACGTTTCGTTTTTATAATTTATACAATTCCAAAAATGTGGAACCAACTGTACTGAAACTAGTTAAACTAGATGAATTAAAAACACATCAGTTTTTTTCCAATTTCGAAAATTTTTTTAGCATTTCTACGACACAAACAATCCAATTTGTGAAAATTTCAATATTACCCCTTATTCGCTTTCAATCATAATCAATTCACGTTTTGTTGGTTTAGTGATTTTCACAATCTTAGGATTACAACTGATAACATTAGATTATTTACGCAAGAGTGTGTGAATATATTTTTCGTTTTTCCGTTTACATTTTAACGTCTGATCTCACGAATATTGATAACGCAGAGTATGTCGGAAGATCCGTTTGTAACTTATCAGTAAAATTGAACTCTCGCATGTTTTTTAATTTTTAAATCAGAATTCAATTAAAACCAATTATTAGACAATATGTCACAAATTAAAAACCTACAATTAAATAACTATAAAAGAACGAGAAATTTCTTATGACTAATAAAAATTAGCTATCTCTAAGTAAATAACCAGTTTGAATGTCATCACTATGCAAGCAAACAATCAATAAATGACCGTGAAACTGTCTGATATCTTTAATTAACTTTGTATTTACTTAGTGTAACACAAGTGGTTATTTTAAATTAAAAATAAATCTCAATCTTGTTTCAATATTTCCCTGACTACATAATGTAATCTAAAATCTCGTCTAGATACTTCTTGAAATATTTATTATAGAAAATTGACATTTTATTACTTTGAAAGGGTAGTTGACATGATATTGGCAAACTCCCGCCAGGATTAAAAATGCAATCAACCTCGAGTTGTTGTCATAATCATTTAATCATAATCATTTTATCGATCAAACTAATACAATGTGAAGTGAGAACAAACAAGACTTGGAATTTTACAAAATTAGATTGAGATAAACTCCACATATACGAGTAATTATGGGTAGTAATAAAGCGATCAGTAAAAAATTAAAAATAATCAATACAATATTTTGCACAGTAAAAATAATAAACGCTCAAGTAACTCAAGTAACAACATAAAATTTAAAGAATTTTCAGTCAACAACGCGCCCCTGCGCAAGAATGATTTTGGCAAGGGCTGGCAACTGTGCACAAATGGTAATCAGTCTTTGCACTGCTGTGCTCCTGATACCACAATTTTGTTTTTGAATTAATTAGTTTTACTAGACATTGATTTATTTCCTTTACTCCTTTATTATTTTTACTGTAGTTTAAATAAAATACTACATAATATTTAAATGCAATAGAAATAGATTAAATCAAACGCAGAAAATCTATCAATAACAATTTTCATCGTAGTAAATTCTCCCACTGTGGTGAGATTTTATCGGTATTAAAACCACCGCAACAAAGCAACTTGTTCCACTTTTCTTAACAAGTGAATAATTTAATGAGGTGCTCTAAATCATTTCTGGTTTGGAGATGTATTAAATCGTGTAAAAATTTCTTTCTTTCTGTTACTCGAACTGGGAAAATTTTATTGGCACGCAAATACCTGTTTTGCATGCCAGGAAATCAACAGAAAAATAATTTACATAGTGTCATTTTAGTATTTGTTTTTTTCAAGAGTAATGACATCTGCATGCAAATTATTTTTGCACGTTTTTGAATTATAATTTTTTTATTTTTGAAAACAAATGTAAACTCAAAAATTTTGAAAAATCTTAATCACTCAGGTGTTTCAAGTAAATTAAAACGGACAAAATGTTAAAAAAATTATATCTACAGGGTGTGTTAGAACTCCCGCTCCAGAGAAAAATTTCAAGTAAGATAAGATACCAGGAAATGGAAAAAATGTTTAAAAAATTCTGTCAAAAAATTTTGACATTTGAAATTTTTTTATGCCATTTAATGATATTGATGATCTTGTATATGTTTTTTTTTACAATTATTTAGTAAAGGTACAAAAATTTTGCCAATAAAAGCCACAAATAACATTGAACAGAGTTACAATTTAGGATACAGCTTCCTTGTTTCCTCTTTTAATAGCCTATAGCAAAAAAACTTGGAAAATTATTTTTCAAACAGAAATAAAGTCAAAGTGCAAAATTTAAACTCTCATAACTTCGAAATTTTTATAAATAATACTTTTTTAACATTTTTTCCATGTTCCTGGTATATTACCTTATATGGCATATTTCTCTGGGGCGAGTTTTGGCGCACCCTGTATTTAAAAAAGATCTGTAAATGATAGGTTAGAAAACATCATGTGTTATGTGAGTAAAATCATTGATAAACTGAGACATTTTTTAGTTTTTTTGAGCAGTTTTATGATGCTGTACTAATGATTTATTATATTTTTTTAAAAGAAAAAGAACATAATAAATTATTGATTATAGAAAAATTGTGCTATTCATTCAGTTAATATAAAAGCTATTTTTCAAAATGGAAGCTTATACAGGGTGATTTTAAAAAAACGGTGGACGCTGTAGAATTTTTATTTATGGCCTGATTTCGAAAATTGAAAAACTAAATTAAATGGTTTTTAATATGGTATAAGCTGATAATTTTAGAATCTTTCTAAATTTCATGGTATTTTTTTGGGCTATATTCAATTTTCTAATTTTAAATACGGACACATTTTTTTTTCATAATTTTCATAATTTGGAAAAGTTTGGTGTGACGGTCAATCGTGTTTTTGTTCATGGAAGATATTAGTTTTGTTGGTACAGACATGTGCCATATGTTCTACTTTTACTGAAAATTATTGTTTAAAGAAATTAATAAAAGTTAATAAAATCAAATCAATGCCAATATTGTACAGTTCCGGACGGAGAATTTTGGACGATTTGTCATTCGATTGATAACTGGCCTTACTTTCAATTTTTATAATTTTTATTCTGACAGCTAAGAAAATAACAACAAATCAAAATAATTTATTGAACATAATGACAATAAAGCGTGGCTTAGATTGACGTTTTTTTTTGAATTTGATGTCAGAAATTCCATGTCTACAATTGTAATTTGTATCAATTTTTTTTTTTTTATATTTATATCTAGGTAAATATACAGGGTGCACCAGAACTCGCGCCCAAGAGAAAAAATTCGAGTAAGATTAGATACCAGAAACATGAAAAAAATTCTATCTGTCAAAAATTTTTGCCATTTGACATTTTTTATGTCTATTTAATGATACTAACGATCTTGTATGTTTTTTTTTTAAATTATTTAGGAAAGGTACAAAAGTTTTGCCAATAAAAGCCCAAATAACATTAAACAGTTACAATTTGGGATACAACTTCTTTGTTTCCTCTTCTAATAACCTGTAGCAAAAAAACTTGGAAAATTATTTTTACAACAGAAATAAATAGTCAAAGTGCAAAATTGAAACTCTCAAAACTTCGAAATTTTTATAGATAAACATCCTGTATAAAAATTCCAAAATGAGGGCGTAAATTTTGAACTTTGACCCTATTTATTTCTACTGAAAATAAATTCTTTTAAATTGGTTGAATACATTCAAAAAAAAAAATAACGACTTAATTCTTTCTGATGTATTTTATAGCAGGTACAGTTGACGAAAAAAGTATTTACCACTGTTTACAAATTTTACATTTTTCATCGGCGAAAANGAAAAAATATTCCAATGACAAGCAAAATACTAATTTATTTAAAATAATTAAAAATGTGCGTTTTTAGGGGCAAAAAGATAACCCTGCTTAATTAGCATCCAATTATGTGTGACCCAGCGAGATATTTCGAAAGTTTAAAGAAAAATGTGAAGTATAAATATTGGCCATAGTGCAACATTTGTTTTTCATTCTCAAGCCCGCGAAAACTCCTCTAATCAAAATCCTTCAGCACTTGTTATTTATTACGACCATGTGCTCCTTTGCTGTTCGGCGATAAAAATTTAGTTAAGGGTAATTCAAAAAATGTACAACAAGGCCAAGGTTAGATAAAGCCAGGTTTTAAGTTGGCTCATTCTACAAAAGTAATAATAGTGCAAGAATATGCCCCCCCCCCCCATAATAAGCGTTGTTTACATAAAAGTGATATTGATTAGACGCTAGTTATTTTTACCGGTACAATAATTATTAATCTGTTTTTTAATGATTTAAAATATCTTATCCACTAACAGACTTGTTTGTGTCGTTATTGCGCATCAATTCAATTGACTTGTTATGTTATCTTTGTGATATAGTCGTGTATTAGATGACAAATAAATCGAAATAACACCACATTTTAGAAGACTGGCAAAATCAGCGTGTCTATTTTTAGGCAATTAAATAAATGTCAATGTATGCCAACCAAAGTGGTGGCTGTGTATTTTTGATTACAAGATTACAATAATATTTCTCTGTAATAAATTGCATTTCCAAGCCCGCCGTCCACGAGTTTCCATAAATACATTGTAATGAACTTCAGGTCATAATCGCATAATTAAATTAAAATCTGGTGAACTTTGACTAACCTAGGAGGATTATCCATGATAAAATTGTAAGAGGGTCCTGGAGGCGGATACCACGGGGTTGACATGACGCTGGAGGTGTTGGTATAGAGTTCACAAGAGGCTAACATTTACACGATTGCACTTGAACGTGTTTTTAACGGAAAAAAAATCTTTCATATGGGATTTTGCTTTGCTAAGGAGCACAGACCATCTCACACGTATACAAACAACTACGCCGTCGTTTGAATCGCGACTGACTGCGCGGAATATAGCGTCACAGCGGCGTAACACACTTACCTTGGCAACAGAGAACCTTCAGGAGAAACGCACGCCTCTGGTGCTGAATCTTCTTCAGTCTCGCAATCTCCACTATCCATAGTTGGTGGTGGTGCACCTGCAAAACGACAAAATATTCGATTCATTTCGAGTTGGAACAACCCAAACACCTGTTTGGTATGCATGCTACAATGCTTTTGTCGTTGGAGAGGTCAGATTTCATTACCGTGTCGATTATACAAATAAACATACCTTAATGCGAGGTTTTTTACATGGGCGGCTGAAACATTGTCAAATCTCATTTAAAAAATTATACTTGTTTAATTAGAGTGCACTGAACTAAACTACATTTTCAAATTTAAGTAATAGTATATTACAAGTCGGGTGGGAATTTCCAACGAAGTTTGTACAGTACTTTATTCACAACACTGTTTTTCTGCCTTTGATACAAATATGTGAACAAATTGCGTTTTTGGGCTAGTCTACCTATTTACACAACGGTGAGATAAAGATAATGCAAAAATTTTATTGAAAACTATATTTAAAAAAAAAAATTCAAACATTAGCAATTTTTGAAAATGCTGCGAATACGGTTAAAGATACAAAAAAAATATGACTTGTTTTGATGTTTTTTGGTTTGTTTTAGCAAAATCTGACAATTAACACCATTTTCGACCATATTTTGTATTTTTTGTCGTATTTTTTTTGATAAAATTTCAGTCAAATGAGCTAAAAACAAACGAAATAACATCAATTGATTTATTTTTGTTGTGTTTAAGCATATTTTGACAATATCCTGCAAAATAAATGAGTCTCTGGTTCAAAAAAAAACACGCTAAAATGATATCAATTTCAAGCTCATTTGGTAATTTTTCAGTAAATTTTAGCAAAAATTTCAGTGCTGAAACACTATAAAAACGCAAAAATGACACTAATTTTGGCCTAATTTGATAAATTTTCGGTTTGTTTTTAACGAAATTTTGCAAAATAGAAATGGACAAACTTATGTACTTTTTGACCTATGTTAGAGATTTATTTTTTTAACTTGTTGAGTAAAATATCATTTAGAAAAACAAAACTATCTCTCGTTTTTTCAACTTGTTTTTGAAAAAATTTAGTATTTGAGTTTCTGTGTGGCTAAAAAAACGTGCAAAAAAATACAAAAAAATTGTGTCATCATTTTTGACTGAATTTACTATATCAATAATTTAAAAATCAAATTAATCATTTGGGGAATTACTCGACTTATAAGAATTATTATTAAATAATTGACTGTCAGATTTCTAAACAAATTCATCAAAAATTAGAGTTTTTACAATAGTTTTCACCAAATCATAGTACCTATAAAAATCACGAGATCAAAGTTTAGATCAATGTTTCATTATATTTTTCCATAAAAACGCAACTAATCAACGATGTAGCGTAGAAAGTTTCGTCCCACTTTTAATTTTAAATACGTTTTATTATAAAAAAAAAATTACATACAGTGTAACCACAGTCTGCCGTAAAAAAAGCATGAAACTAGATGTTTTTTGCTTTAAATATCTTATTTCCAAAAAAACTACTACGAAAATGTTATAGTTTTTCAAGACGATTTTTTCATTCTATAAAAGTTTTATTTTTTTTATTTTTTGTGTGCCTCATTCTTGCATTAAACATTGTATATAATAGCAAGAAGCAAAAAAAAAAGTTTATGAAAAACAACTACGAAAATTTTATCGTTTTTCAAGACGTACATACCTAAGTTTTTATAAAAATTTTGTATACAAGGTGTTTCATTCTTGCAGTAAAAAGCATGGAACCAAGAAGTTTTTGCTTTAACTTTTTGAAAAACAAAGACTAAAATTTAAAAAAAATTATTGAAAACTATATTAAAAAAGATTTCAAACATTTAGCAATTTGCACCCCGTCTCATTTTTGCATTTTTTTCAATTAGTGCATTGAATTTAAATTAATTTAAAACGATTTGAAACTGAGACGGTAAAACGCTCTAAGCGCCCTCATTTTTACTCCGCCGTACTACTTTTTACTACATGAATTACTTCCCGACCAAGAGATGCAATAACATTCCTATTTCGCGAACACTTGTTACGAACATTCCTTTTCTACTAAAACTGAATTTTTGCACTACAATGCATATTTACAAGTAGCGTAATTATACAGGGTGTTTTCTTAATATTGCATATTCTATTTCGAAACATAACACTATGTTCTACTGTTATGGATACAGTGTGGTAAAGTTTCAAATTACAATCAATTAGTACCTGAGTTATTTTCATAAAATTTTACAAGCTTATAAGACATTAAAATGGGTTATTTTCCAATAATTACATACTTATGCAATTTTTTGTGTTATTTTTCGATGTAGAATATGTAGTTGCAATTTTTCGGAATATTAAGAAAACATCCGGTATATAAATAATAAGACGGTAATAACGAGCAATAAATTAACTTAATTGAAAAACGAAATTGTTTTTTGGTAAAATTTCTTCTGATGATTCTGAATGTAAAAAATTTGCAGTTATAATACACACCTATTTAATTTGAACGATGAGAGTAGTGACCTCCGAACTTTTTTTTTGTCAATTTAGTTCACACTTGCTTAGCAACTGAATTTAAAATTATACACAAGATGATTTCTTCGTCAGATTTGACCTTGACCGATCATATAACGATTTTTATAAACCCTACAACTAAAGAAGTAGTTGTGTGTATGTAAAAACAGGACTGACCAAATGGTATACACTTCAAAAAAAATTTTTTAAATACATAATAGCAAAAAATATGTAATAAGTAATGAAAGATTAAAATATGGACAAACTTTCGAAGGTTTTGGCCCGTTTTAAAGTTAAAATCTCAGGTTTTTCATCTCAAAAATGACACTATTTCACCACCTTTTTCGTAAAATGATGCTAAAAAAAAACTAAAAAATCACCCCATACTAGAGCAATTTTTGGATTTAAAAAAAAAATTCAAAACGTCTGATCCAAAATTTGAGCACAATTTCTCTAAACGAGAAGATTAAGTCTAAAATACCATTACTTTTGCCTTTTCCGACTATCAGTCTGAATAAAAAATAAGAAAAAAAAATCACTAGATTCAGTTAAAAATAATATTATCGTGCCTTTCGAGAGTTGAAGGCCGTTTTTCAGATAAAAACCCACTTTTTGGCGAGATTTCGCTACAACTCTAAAAATTAGATCAAAACTAACATTATTTTTGTTATTTTCAGCCAGAAATGCAAAATTTCAGTAAAAATAAACCAAATAAATCGTAGAAATAATTAATTTATAAATAAAGCAATAAATTAATTAAAATTCATCTCAATTATCTTTTTTGTGATCTAGGTACTGAAATTAGTAAAAAGTTAAAAAAAAAAAGAAGAAGTGGCATATATCTAATGGATTAAACCCAAACTAGCTCAGAATTTACGCCAGTGTTTATCTAGTAATCTATCTTTCTACTTTCTCGAAAAGTAGAAGATTTATTTATTTTTTTATTTACCTGATATATTCCTCCACCCACATTTAGCAATATTCCTTTAAAAAAAAATTACAAAAATTACAAATAAGTTGGCAACACAGAATAATATACAAAAATTGACTCTACAATTTTTTGACAATTTGGCTTTGCGTTTAAAAAAAGATGTTTTTTTCGTCGATTTGATCTAACACCAAAAAACTTGCACCTGCTCAATTGAACTCTGCCTTTCATGAAACATATTTTTCGAAGTTATCATTTGAAAAGAAATTTACTCATTTTAGTTTCTATCTTTCAATTGAACAGCAAAATACCGAAATGAATATAGAATCAAATCGATATACCGCGTCGCCATGAAAACGAAAGGAATTATAATCGTGGAGGTTTTAAAAATTTGGAAAGCAAAGTGAAACTCTACTTTACCGTTAAAATTTTTAATTTAAATTATTTAGAAAATATTTTTTGGAAATATTAGTTTAATTAAATTAGTAAGTAATTAATTACAATGAAAATTGATTTAAGTATCGCATTACGACCTCAAATATTTTTTTTGCATCTGCTATGATAAAAATTAAGCCACACATGTTGATTCTCAGTTTGTTAATTTTTTCCGTAAAGATAAGAAAATTTATGTAACGCACAAACAAGGTCAGTTTGGATTTTAGAATCACACTCAGCATTATTTAATTGTTACATAATTAAAATTGATCTAAATAACATGAAGAAGTAGGAAACAAAAATATTTGAGGCTTGTAACGTTAGCACTTCCCAACCAAGAGATGAAATGACGTATTTCCCGACCTCTAAAAGGTGAATAAGTCGGCATGGTGTATGTTTTCGTCAAATATCAAGACAAACAAAGTAATTCGAAATTATCGGTAATTGTCAAATAATCGTGGGGTGGGAGTTGGATTTTATAAATACACACAAGCTTCATTACGACTTGTGTTCTCTAATTGCGGTAGAAACAACCTCGTGGAGCTATGAATAGTTGTAAAGAAAAACTTTCTTGGTTTCTTGATACAAAATCATTGATTTCCACGAAAAATACATTTTTGGGCCACATGGAATAACAACAAGTGGCTCAATATCACAAAAAAAGTTCCACGCGCGACCCCCTGTCGATGATTACTTCGCCGTAGGTGTCTGACGACTTTATTCAAGATTCGTTAGGTACATATCATGTGAAAAACGTTGACGTGTTGATAACTACTTCATAACCGAATCCATAATACGGAGTTAATTCAATGTGCAGTCAACGGTTAAAATTAGACGCAAATTACACTTAATGTCTTAAAAACCATCACATTACAAATAATTCACAAGAATGCACAATACTACAAGCTCTAAAAGCTTGAAAATTGCACAAATTTTCGAAGGTTTTGGCCCGTTTTAGAGTAAATCTCAGGTTTTTCATCTCAAAAATGACACTATATATTTCGCCACCTTTTTCGCAAAATTATGCTAAAAAAAACCTAAAAAATCACCCCAAACTAGAGCAATTTCTGCATTTTAAAAAAATTCAAGACGTCTTTGAGCTAAAATTTGAGCACAATTTCTCTAAACCGGGCCGAAAAATCACTAGATTAAGTATAAAATACCATTATTTTTGCCTTTTCCCACTATTTTAGTATGTATAAAAAATAAGCCAAAAAATCACTAAATTCAGTTAAAAATAACATTATCATTCCTTTCGAGAGTTGAAGGCCGTTTTTCAGATAAAAACCCACTTTTTGGCGAGATTTATATATTAGATCAAAACTTACATTATTTTTGTTATTTTCACCCAGGAACGCAAAATTTCAGCAAAAATAAGCCAAATAAATCGTAGAAATAATTAATTTATACATAAAGCAATAAATTAATTAAAATTCATCTCAATTCTCAAAAACTTTTGTGATCTAGGTACTGAAATTGATAAAAAGTTAAAAAAAAAATTAAAAAAAAAAAGAAGAACTGGCATTACCTAATGGATTAAACCCAAAAACTAGCTCAGAATTTACGCCAGTGTTTATCTAGTAATCTATCTTACTTTCACTTTGTACTTTGCGTAACTGTGCCTAATTTTAATTGTACTTCAAACAACTTGGTTATAACTTACAAGGCAACAGCCGAGCTAATTTATGTAATCCACTATGCAAAAAAAAACAAAGTTGATTTTTTTATAGCCCACTTTCAAGTTTTAAAATTAATATAGTCAAAGTAGTCAAAATATTTTTTTTCAATTCTTATTACTGCAGAAATTTGGAACTAGTGATATGACTCTTGACTCTGTAAATCTATCTACAAATCTATTTCTGCAGATTTACTTGTAGATCTATCTGTAAATATATCTACAGACCTGTAGCTGCAAATATGTCTACAGACCTGTATCTGTAGATGTGTCTACAAACCTGTTGCTGTGAATCTATCCACAGGCCTGTAGCTTTAGATCTTTCTGTAGATCTATCTACAGACTTGTGGCTGTAGATCTATCTGTAAATCTATCTACAAGCCTATATTTGTAGATCTATCTTAGATCTACCTATAGACCTGTAGCGTTAGATCTTTCTGTAGATCTATCTACGGAAATGTATCTGTAGATCTACTCGTATCTGTAGCTGTAGATCTATCTGTAAATCGATCAACAAATCTGTATCTGTAGATTTACTTGTAGATCTATCTGTAAATATATCTACAGACCTGTAGCTGCAAATCTATCTACAGACCTGTATCTGGAGATGTGTCTACAAACCTGCCTCTGTGAGTCTATCCACAGACCTGTAGCTTTAGATCTTTCTGTACATATATCTACTGACTTGTGGCTGTAGATCTATCTACAGACTTGTGGCTGTAAATCTTTCTACAAGCCTATATTTGTAGATCTATCTTAGATCTATCTACAGACCTGCAGCTTTAAATCTTTCTGTAGATCTAACTACGGACCTGTATCTGTAGATCTACTCGTATCTGTAGTTCTATATCTATCTGTAAATCTATCTACAAATCTGTATCTGTAGATTTATTTACAGACCTATCTGTAGATTTATTTATTATTTTTTTTATTATCATGATACTCAAATTTCTATGCTTCACTAGTACATCAATCTTTCAACGTTGTAATGGTGTCAAAGTTTTTAATTCTATACTGATCTTTTTCAGTTGAATGTTTCCGTGAATAAATTTCGTACACTCTAAAAAGATTTCTTGTTCTCACATGGTTAATTATGATAGCCAACAATGTTATTTATGATTTTTTATTGATGTTTCATTTATATTTCTTATTACATATTTTTTTTTATTTATTATATTTTTTTATTATTTTGGGGTTGAGTAGCTGAGTAGCCATCGGCTAGACTTCGCTCCACAGGGGTTGTATTTTTTTTCCAATAAAGACCTATTATTATTATTATTTGTAGATCTACCTACAGATCTGTAGCTGTAAATTTATCTAGAGTCCAGTAGCTGTAGATCTATCTACAGACTTGTGGTTGTAAATCTATCTGTAAATCTATCTACAGGCCTATATCTGTAGATCTATCGACAGACATGTATCTGTAAATCTATAAACCTGTAGCTTTAGAGATTTCTTTGTAGATCTACCTATTGACCTGTAATTGTAAATCTATCTACAGACCTATATCTGTAGATGTGTCTACAGACTTGTAGCTGTAAATCTATCTACATTCCTGTATCTGTAGATCTATCTATCAATGTGATTACTGAGTAGCACATTTCCTTATTAGAAAAAGAGATAAATAGTAGACTATGTGAAATCTGTTAATGTTTTAAGAAGATATTAAGTTGTCTCGAATCAAGGTTGTCCTCCACGAAAATAAAAAATGCAAACTGTAACAAAAGTTATATACAATGTATTTGTTTTCTATAAGCTTTCTAACTATAAACTTTTGTTTTTTTTATGATTTTTGTTGTTTTTTTTTTCTTGACAGGTGGTTTCTAACATTAATTACCATCAAATGTGTGTAATAATAATGGAAAATCGGCATGCAACCTATGCAGTAGTACAAAGTCAAGATTGCCATTTATCACAACTCAAAGTTTGAATGTAAATAACTCGATTTATTAATAGTTGCAATTTTGTACTCCCATTTTTAATTAGAGACTAAAAAGGCAGTGTTTTTCATCGGCCTTGACTTTGTTTATTTGCTTTGTAACAACATCGGCGCAATTGTAAATAATTAGCGTATACTATGTGTTAGCCGGATATAAATTTTGAGACGAACTTTACAATAATTACTGATAAAAAATTCACATCATGTGTGCTATTGCCCCCATAATTCAATTATAAATGAAAACCAGTCAAATTCATATCGCTGACATTTCTAAGTTCAATAACTGAAATATTTAAAAATTTTATCAAACAAGTATTAAATAAATCAGGTCCAAAATGTTAAACGCAAATAAACAAATTTGCACATTTCGAAATACAGTGCAAATATTTACTGATGAAAATCCCCAAAATCCACCAAAATATTATTCTTTCAGTTGTGGCAACACAACAAATAAAAAACAAGTACTTTTACAAAATAAGTCAGGGAAATTTGGGATTTTTTATAACAATTATATTCAAAGAGGAAAATGCTATAAACAACGTTTAAAATAGGCGCTATCTCATTGCAGACTTATTGTTGCCCTGCAAGTGACCTCGTGAGATAATTTAAAAAGAATTAGTACTATATTTAAAGTATCATTTTATTGCAAAATGTGCAATAACAAACACACTTAAAATTAACATTTACAAATTAAAATATGACTTTATGTGACTTTAGAAACTCGTTAAAACAAATTCAAAAGTGGTTTTTAAAACACAAGTGTTTTAAATAATTAAGGTTAGTGGACTTAATTAATTAATTTAAAAAAATGAGAATGATCCAGTAACCTTAGTCAAAATTGGAGCGATTGTGCCATCTGTTGAGAAGTAAACAAACCACACGACACGATCACTTGATTTGATTGAGAGAGAGCAAGTGAATATGGAGACGCCATTTGGACAATATTTACTTTACTTTGCATTTTGTATTAATTATTTTATAATTTTATTTATAACATTTTTGCAGTTATTTCGCGTGTTTTTCTAACAAGAGAAGAGACTTACGGTTTTAATCAAGTGAGCATTGTCATACCCAAATGTCAACGAAAACACTCATTTGTTTAGAAAAAAACGTGAAAATACCTACCTACTTATTAATTATTTTTGAATAATAGTGACAAATGTTGTAGTAGAATGTAATTAAGTTTGAGTAAATATTATTAGGAGTGAGAAAGTCTGTTGACTTACCAGATAATCAAAATATCCTCCAGTCTTTAAAAAGCAGTCTCACGTAGAAAAAACTACATTCACTACAATAAAAAATAGTCACAGCACATTGAAATCGTTGTTTGTTACAATTAACATTATCTAAAACCATTTAAACACATCACAAATTTATAATCAAGCACACTCTTGATGAGAAACAAATGAAAGATGTCTCTACTTTCATCCTTTAAATTACAATTTTCGTTACGAATTTAATTTCTAATGTGTGTAAGTATAAAATTTATGATTCTTTTAAACGTAAAAAATTATCACTTATTATTTTAGCTACAAATGTTGTGTTAAAAATGAAAATATTGGAAAATTGCACTTGGAACACCTCTGCGTATGTTGCACACTATTGCATATTTTTACGCGTTTTGCGCCATCTAGGAGGGCCAAACAGAACAAAAAGCAGTTGTACAGGTTTCTTTTCTGTTTGGTTTGGCATTAAAATATTTGTCTAGCTCCAAGTCACTAGCTATCGCAATGAATTGTTAAAGATTTTTTTTTAGATAAAATACAAAATGTCATTAAAAAAATTTATGTCAAAAAAATTTTGATATATTTTTTGACATTTGACATTTTTTATGCCTTTAGCGCACCCTGTATATTACTGATAATTTTTTTGGTGTTTTTACGTCCAAATATACTTTTTAAATAAAGTCTCTAACTTGAATTTGATTTATTTCTTGGGTTTTTAAGATTTCTTTTTTACTTCAATTAGAGCTATAGTTTCCTCTCTGGTCACTAGATGCGGCAGGTAGCATTAAATTGACACTTGATTTTTGAGTAAAATATATTATTATTAAATTATAATTATAATTATAATGCTTTTTTTGATGTTTCTATAAAATTCTATAAAATTAATAATTAAAAGAAGTAATAAAAACAAACTTTTCTAAGTTGGACTTTTTTGCTGTCTAAAAACATAAACAAAACAAAGATGAGCTTGTATAGGTTTTTTGTCTAAATTTGAGACTTAAATAATTGATAGTTTCGCTCCTAGTCACTAGATGTGGCAGACAACACTAACATTTTTGAACTGTTTTTTTTATTTTTTTTATTAATATTGTGTCAACAAGAAATTACTGCTTAGGATTTAGGGATTTTCGTGAATAGGTTGCCATAAATTTGGTTAGGATGACAAAAGATGTATCGCAATCAGTGTCAAAATTTAGGTTAAGGATAATTCAATTTGTATTTGACAGGTTGTCAGAAAACGTCAACTGTCAACACCAAGGAGTAACCAACCCTAGGCATACAAAATTACTTCTGAAAATTCTAGTTATAAACAACATGAAAAACGTAATTTTCCTGAAAGTTCAAATCCTAGGTGGTAATTTCTTGTTGACAAATCTACAAGCGCTTCAAAACTCGCGCCCCAGAAAAAATTAATTAAATTAAATTAATTAAATTAAATTTTTAAATTTTGCATTTATTTCTGTTGGAAAAATAATTTTCTAAGTTTTTTTGCTACAGGTCATTTAAAGAGGATACAAGGAAGCTGTATGTTATTTGTGGTTTTTATTGGCAAAATTTTTGTACTTTTACTAAATAACTATAAAAAAACGTATACAAGATCATCAGTATCATTAAACGTACTTAAAAAATGTTAAATGTCAAAATTTTTTGACAGATTTTTTTAAACATTTTTTTCATGTTCCTGGTATCTTATCTTACTTGAAATTTTTCTCTGAGGCGCGAATTCTGGGGCAGCCTGTATAGTTAATAGAAGCAATAAAATAAGCTTTTTTATGAAATCTTTAATTTGAATTTGCTCCAGTCCATATTATTCCGGATAATCGACGCTCTACTGTATTTACAAAGGAATGGTTCAAGTATTTTTCAATAAAATAAATCTACATTACTTTTTTATTAACATAAAATAATTTGTCATAAATAAAATTAAAAAAAATATTCGAAACTTTTAAACACTAATAAAAAGATGCAACAAAAAAAGGAAAATTCAAGAGAGAATTTTACACAGCAAACATTTCCGAAAAAGTTAATAAAACCTGAAATATTTACACTTACTACAGCACAAAATTTTTTATTATTTGTTGAAAAATAGTTCATTTTAATTGAAAAATATTGTTTTTAATGAATTCTACAAACTCCTCATACAACAAATGAGAGAAATATGCGATTTGCAATGAGTGTGACGACTTTCACTATAATAAAAATTTCTGTTATGGCAGTTTCAGTTCCTGGAAAATAATAATAACTATTGTTGAATGTATTACGTTGTGTTTGAAGTAATTACAAGTTGAGGAAAAAGTAGAGTGATTCTTCAAGGATAAAATGATAAAAAATTAGTGTTTTCAAAAAATGATTAATTAGAATTCCTGACTACTTCTTAACATTTTTTACCGTTTTACTAGTGGTCACACACACGACACACCTCTGCTCCACCTTCCCTTAACAAGTAATGCAAATTAATCCATTAATTAATTTATGAAAAATATTTAAATCGCGCAATTGTTTTCATAAATTGCATATTTATGATGTGGTTTTTCCAGTTCCAGATTGTGTGCTTTACGATACGGTTTTTTACCACCCCCATGTGCCATTAGCACAATCATTCATCACTGCGACTCACACTTGAAAAGTATGAAATATTGCAAGGGAGTGCTCTGCCTAGCTATTTTATGGGAAATTTTCCATTTACAGTAAAAACAGTAAATTCAAGGTTTGCGTAAGATTTTTTAAAGCAAAGTGAATAAAAAAGTTTGCTCTTATTGATGCTGTAAAGATTCAAATTTCAGTTTTATGTAACTGTCAATAAATAAAAATAAAATATGAAGGTTGTTTTAAAGTGCATTTTTTGGAAATATTTGGTTAAAAGATAAATAAAACATGACTTAATCGGATTAAAAATCTTACATTTGATTGGTTTTACTCAGTAAATTCTATAACGAAAGTTTTTTAAAAAATATATTTCGAAATTAAACTGCCGTAAGTAATTTAAAATTATTAAAATCAGCACTAAATTCATTTATCCAAATGTATGGAAATTTTGCAACCTTGAATAATAAACCATTTGTATAATAAATATATGTATTTTGTAGAAAATTTGTCGAAAATAGGAACCTTCACCTGTTTTTATTATTATTCATTAAACAGTTACCACACATTCGAATTTATAAAAAATGCATTTTGCAAAACGCAGTAATGTGAAATGCATTTTATTCACAGTTTCTAAGTTTATTCGTTGAAATTATCAAGTGAACTGTAATTCAATATACAGGGTGCGTCAGAATTCGCACTCAAGAGAAAAATAAAATAAGACAGGAACATGGAAAAATGTTAAAAAAATTTTATCTATAAAAATTTCGAAGTTATGCACTTGCATTTTGATTCTATTTATTTCTGTTATAAAAATTATTTTCCAATTTTTTTGCTACATGCTATTAAAAGAGGGAATAAGGAAGCTGTATCCTAAATTGTAACTCTGTTCAATGTTATTTGTGGCTTTTATTGGCATAATTTTTGTCTCTTTACTAAATAATTGTAAAAAAAACAGATACAAGATCATCAGTATCATTAAATAGACATAAAAAATGTTAAATGTCAAAAAATAAATGTGACAATTTTTTGACAGATAGAATTTTTGTTCGTTGTATCTTACCATAGATGTCAATTTTCTCTGTACTTTTTAGTAGCAATAAAAGTAGTTTGTGCCTTTTTGGTGTATTATTTTAAGTAAAAATCTGTAAATGCATTTTTTTCCTATTTTGAATCTAAAACAAAGCTTATTCCGGTACTAAAACCGATTCTTTAATGAGCCATTTCAACACCGATTCGGGTGCTGAAATAAACTAGTACAATTTACTTTCCAGATGTTGGTAATGTGATTTTCAGAGGCGTTTTGAGTCATTTCTTTTTTTTCAGGTGGTGTGCATGAAATATTTGCAGTATTTATTTGAAAAATACTTGAAACTTGACACTGACAAAAATTAAATTTTTTATACTTTGTGACATTTATTACCAACTACCACCTTATTAGAGAAAAAGTTCCTAAATTTTGAAAAATCAACTTTAAAAAAAGTACGCAAAACGCGTAAAATAGAAGAAATAGCCTAAAAAAGTTTTTTTTATAAAATTCGCCGCTGCTCGTTTAGTAAACTTATTCCACAAAAAGTTTTTCTAGACTAATTTTAGAAAGGAGAAAAAGAGAAACGGAAAACATCTGCTAGAAACTGAGATATCAAGAGAAATTGATATTTTTATGATTTTCTTTCTGAATCGTAGGAAAAATTATGTATATTATACAGGAGGAAAGTGTCTTTTTCTCCTTGTAATACAAATAACTATTAAAACAAAAATAGTTTTTTATATGCAAAAATATGTCTACTTTTAAAAAACAAACTGTTAAATGCTAAATTGTGACAAAAATGGAGTAAAAATTGTATTTTTGCGCCTAAGCTTTTTTACTTTTACCATGACATTATTGACATTTAGCAATGTTGTTTCTTTCTTGTCTCTTTCGCTGCTTCAGCAACCTCTGAATAGGTGAATTATAGATTTTCAACATTCGACTTATTGCACTACTAACTGCACTAGTTTAATTAATTATCACTTTCGAAAATCTCAACACAAATTTTGATACTGACCCGTGATGTTTGTTTATAAGCGTTGTTATGATTTCATTATTTGCAAAACGTCCTTATTATTTTCTTCATTTACTTGCTGGTTATAGTGTTTCAAAAATAAGTTACAATAAAAACTTGTGTTTTTTTTAATGAAATACCATATGTTTCTTAGCGTTTTTAGATGTACATTTTTAAACAACTTTTATTGGTCGATTTTGCTTAGTTTTAAAAATAAGACGTTTTTTTGGCGAAAACATGCACTTTTTAAAAATTTATTACACAAAAACTAATACATTAGAAATATTTTTTTTACTACCGCAAAGAAGAAAGCTTTAAGGTTGTAACATTTTTTAGTGTGTTGCATTTGCAAAAATAAAAAAATTAAGGCATTTGTTAAAAGTTCAATAACTTAAAAAATTTAAATGGAACACCCTATTTATTGTTTTTGCATTAAAAAGATTATTAATTTGTCTTTCTAAATTTTTTTAGTTTTAGGTGAAATGATATTTAACGTTAAACATTAAAAAAAAAACAATTACTATTGTTTCAGTAGCCAAAAAGTGCACAGTTGCACAAGAGATGGAAGAAATATCACTGAACAATCACATTTGTGTTAAACTGAATCCATTATTCTTTATTTTTAAAAATAGAAAATGGGGTGTTTTATTTAAATTTTTTGAGTTATTTAACTTTTAACAAACTTCTTAATTTATTAATCTTTACAAACGCAAAACACTAAAAAATTGCTACGGCTTTAAATTCTGT